ATACCTGAGTGGATTAATAAAATGTGGTATATGTATACCATGGAATACTACTCAACTACAAAATCAATGCTGATCTAGCACCTCTTATTTTATCCCGGATAGACATTGAGCCCTTCCTTCAAAGTGAAGTATCCCAAGGATGGAAAAACATGCACCACATGTACTCACCATCAAACTGGTACTAATTCATCAACATTAAGCTGCTCACATGGTTGTAGTACTCACTGGGCGTCGGTGAGGTGGGGGGATGGGGCTGGGGGCAGCAGGGGTGTGGGAGTAAACCCACAGCTATGGAAACAGGGCATACCGTATGGGGGAAGGACACACTTATAGCCCTGGCTTGAGTGAGGCAAATGCATTTCATGTAACCAAAATATTTGTACCCCCCATAAGATCCTGATTTAAAAAAGAAAAAAGAATGTTCTCTCTCTAAAAAAAAAAAGGAATTTTAAAGAGCATTTGAAACACAGGAAAAATTGCAGTGTCATATTTCACTCTGTGACTCCCTAACAACTACAGAGATTCTAAATTTGGACCTTTAGTGTGTCATAACATAAATGTAGGCTGGGCGCGGTGGCTCACGCCTGTAATCCTAGCACTCTGGGAGGCCAAGGCGGGTGGATTGCTCAAGGTCAGGAGTTCAAGACCAGCCTGAGCAAGAGCGAGACCCCATCTCTACTAAAAATAGAAAGAAATTATCTACACAACTAAAAATACATATATAGAAAAAATTAGCTGGGCATGGTGGCGCATGCCTGTAGTCCCAGCTACCTGGGAGGCTGAGGTGGGAGGATCGCTTGAGCCCAGGAGTTTGAGGTTGCTGTGAGCTAGGTTGATGCCACGGCACTCTAGCCAGGGCAACAGAGCCAGACTCTGTCTCAAAAAAAAAAAAAAATGTAGAAAACACATGAGTAAAAACTTAGGTACTTTTAAATTTGTTTTCCTATGCTTATATACATCTTATTTCAAATATGGAAACAGATAATAACATTTGCATTATTTATGGCAAATCCTTCCATCAAACTCAGAAAAACAATTACAAATGAGTAGACTGTAAGCATTTATACATTTTAATGTAATTCCTTCCAGGCCAAAATTTGCATTACAAAATTTACCTGATTTGGGCCCAGCACCGTGGATCCTGCCTACAAAATCAGCACTCAGGGAGGACACGAGGGAAGGAGGCCTTGAGTCCAGGACTTCATCAACAGCTTGTGTGGCATGCCGAGACCAGGCTACTACAGGAAAAAAAATGACAATTACTTCAGTTTGATGGCAGGAGCCCCTATCTCAGCTACTTGGCAGCCTGAGGCAGGGGGATCCCTTGACCACAGCACTTCGACATTGCAGTGAGCTATGACTGCACAACTGCACTTCAGCCTGGACAATGCAGTGAGATCCTATTTCTCAACAGAGGTATTTACCTGGTTTGGATGTTTGTGTGTTCTCTGTTTCTAGTGCTCTCTCTGGAACAAATGCTTTAATTTCAGTGGTTGGCTGAATGGGATTTCAAACAAAGTGTTTCATAAATAATGTATATTTCATACAATATGTGGTGAATAATTCAAGATAAAATATACATGTTATTACCTTCGAGGGAGGTTGTTTCTTAGAAGACCCTAAAAACCAAAAGGGACATACATTAACACTAATGACTACATAAATGTAAATATGGCAAAGCCAACCTTACATTCATAAAAAACTAATCTCAATCTGAATCCTCAGACAATACTTTGTAAATGATAAGGTTTTTGTCTGTTTGTTTTTTGATTATTAGGACAGCAACATGAGGGAAATATGCTGATGAAAAATAGAGGGGTAGGTGTTCTACAGCATGAAGTCAAGATCTCAAAAGTGAGATTAATTTTCAAGTAACTTGAAATAGAAATGTACACCGATACCAATTTGAACATGCTAGTCAATGAGGAAAACAGTTGTCTTCATCCAAGAAGCAAATGATGACCCTGAGAAGATAAATGTCAAAGCCAATGGCAGAAGGCTGCAGCGTATCTTTAACACAACACATCAGGATCATGGATATCACCTCACTACAACTATTTATCCTGGTCTTCAGTTTGTTTTGTAATTTTAGAAGTACACAGGTGTGAACACACTTCAGGTGAATGTGCAATCAATTTCACATTAGAGAAATTGTTGTCAATTTTTCAGCCAGGACATACACTTGCACAATAACAGTTCATACAAATATTCCTTTTTTCCACACACATGTGGGCTACCAGCATTCCCATATTTCTTGTTTCTTCAATGTTAGCCATCTTAAAGTTTCTTCAGCTACCCATGCAAAACCATATATAAAACACATCTAAGAAATAATGTATGCTAAGCACTCAATATTGAATTATTCTTCAAAAAATTAAATAGCCAATGAATTATTAGCTAATCATGACTTTTTATATTCCAAACTCAATGCAAAATTTACTGATAGGAATAATGGACTTCAAGGAATGAACTCCATAATTTTTGTTTCCAAAATGAGTTTGTTTCAGTATATCTTACGAGTATCTTAAGAATTTTCATGAAATAGTTCTTTAGCAGAAAATTAGGAGGGGTGTGCTCGCTCACACCTGTAATCCTAGCTCCTTTGAAGACAAAGGCACAAGTATCATTTGCAGCCAGGAGGTTGAGACAAGCCTGGGCCACATAGCGGGACACCACCTCTACAAAAAGCAAAGATGTTAGTGGGGCATGGTGGCATGTTACTCTAGTCCCAGGTACTTCGGAGTCTGAGGCAAGAGGATTGACTGAGTCCTCTCGTTAAAATTTGCAGACATATATAATGAAGACACGGCATTCCAGCCTGGGAAACATAGAGAGACCCTGTCTGTAATTAATTAACTACCTGAACCAGAGTTTCTTGTGTCAATATGGCTAGACCTCATTAATATAATGCTGACCAAACAAAAAAATTTAGAATGATATATACAGTGTCTAACCACTTATAAAAATATTTAGAACATGAAAACCCAAACTACATAATATTTCTGACCATACACATATGTATTCACAAGGTTTCAACATGTGCAGAAATGATAAACACCTAATTCTGGGTGTTGGTTAGCTCTACACAGTAAGTTTCAGTAGTAGAGGAGGACACAATGGGAAAAATATTTAAGAACTGCTATTTAAAACACTGTCTTTACCAAATTGTCATTAAGAAATGTTTAATTACTTTCCTCCTTTGTAATAATCACACATACCACACACACTCACACACACACACACACACACACACACACACACACAGCCTCCTAGTCAGAATATCTGATTGGATTAAAATCATCAGTATAACAATAACATGATGAAATAAT